GAAGAGACCCACTAAAATGTCATTCAGTGTAACAATCTTGTCAGGCATATTTACAACAAAAATCAATTTATGACATATTAAAAGACTAATTACTTTCACCTCAAATACTAATTTAGTTGTAATTTAGCATTTTTAAAATTTGCCACTATCCTAGGTTTCGCCTATTGGTCAGTAATGTTTTACTCATTTAAAACGAATCGAATTGAATATGTTCCCATATTCTTTTATATATTTTAATATGTACAAGTCAGAATAAGCATGTTGTTTGAATTTGTACATAAATAGTGTTACACTGAATGACAATGTAACATTATTTAAACCAAATTTTGACATTTCATTCTCCTAAAACTTATTTGAAACCTTAAAAGTAGACACTTACATTAAATGTGTTTTCTATGGACATAAAATCACTTTTGTAAAATTCTTTTGATGTGGTCATCTTAACGTCTTTGACCCACATACAGTCATTTCTATTTTCACAATGAAAGCAATGGTTAGACCTTTTATTTATAACTGGATTTGTTTTGGACACATTCATTTTATTCATCACTTTCTGGAATAGTATTTCAGGTAAGTGTGATTAAAAGTTCCTAATCAATAGCCCTTGTGTTCATTTTTAAACGGATAGCTCACCCAAACATGAGATTCTATCATCATTTGCTCACCCTCATGTTGTTCCAAACCCACATGACTTTCTTTGTTCCGTGGAACACAAAAGGAGTTCATTAATGCACTAATTAAGAGGTATTATATGATTGCTCTTTTCCATGCAGTTTCAGTGAATGGGCAGGAACGCTTTCAAGCTTCAAAAAGCAGAAATAATGAGTGAACTATAACTATCAAATACAATTTAGTCATTTAGTCAACTCGGATACACATCTTCTAGATCTTGAAAGTTGGCAATGAAGGTCATTGTCTGTGAAGAAAAGTTTTCAACAAATCAAGGCGTCTCAATTCTAAAAATGGAACTTCAGCTCACTTTTTTGGGAATGCGACAACTGATGACGATAACAGTGATCATGATGCATATTTCATATTGAGGTATCCAATGTAAACAAACACACTGTTACCAGGGAGTGTTTCTCTCATCGATGTCCTTGTCATATACAACAAAAGACAGTTCTAGAGACCTGTGACCTGCATGTGTCACGCTCACTGGGTTTCCTGGAATAAACGAAATCAACATGGCCGTTTGGGGATTTTTTTTTCTTTATTTTTTCTTTAGCTTGATCACCCCCAGTTTCATTTTCAGAAGAAAAGAGACTGTACTTTTCCCCCCTTCTTCAGAGATCACAATCTTCTTGTTTTTTAATTGAAAGTCTAACTGATGTTTCAGATAACATTTCACCTATCCGTTATTAGTTTTTCCATCCATATTACCTTCTATCCCATATCATATCTACTATAACTTTGAGATCTGATATTTGCTGAGAGGTAACTGCGGGGCGTGATGTATTCTAGCACAATATTAACTTTATTTTGAAAAGGGAAGTAAGAAATGTCTTGACGGAAAATATCGACTCACTTCTGCAAAAAGGGCAGTGGAAGTCCTTGCTGACCCGCAGATAATGTTGGCAGTGGATGATCGTCAGCTATATTTCCATCTGAGCACAGCTTTTTCTTTAAATACATTTTTTTTTTTTGAAAAACATTAATAGATTTTTATTAATTTTTAAGAAAAAAAAAATCTAAAATATTTTCTTACAGTAAAAGTTACAATATAGTTAAAAAAATGTGCAATTTGTTACTTTTTAAAAATGAATTCTGTCAGATATATTCTGTTTAAAAACGGTCTTGGCTGATTGATGGAATGTATCAGTGTTTGTGTTGAATTTTGGGAAATTTCTGATTTCTGAGAATTTCTTTTTATTTCGTGCTGAGAGAGGCCATATATGTATATGTATATATATATATATATATATACAGTACCAGATTTTTTGGTTAATATGTAACATCACCAGCTGTAAAACAATAAAGTACATATTGAAGTGTCCCCAAATATTAGGATTATGCATAATTTTCTGAGTGGAACCTGCTGTGCATTTGAAAGGAACTCATTGAACTGTTTTACACTTTTTTTTTTTTTTTTTTTTTTTTTTTAAAATTTATAACATGAGTTTTTTTTTCTGTGACCTGCATGTGTCACACTCACTGGGTTTCCTGGAATAAACGAAATCAACATGGCCGTTTGGGGATTTTTTTTTCTTTATTTTTTCTTTAGCTTGATCACCCCCAGTTTCATTTTCAGAAGAAAAGAGACTGTACTTTTCCCCCCTTCTTCAGAGATCACAATCTTCTTGTTTTTTAATTGAAAGTCTAACTGATGTTTCAGATAACATTTCACCTATCCGTTATTAGTTTTTCCATCCATATTACCTTCTATCCCATATCATATCTACTATAACTTTGAGATCTGATATTTGCTGAGAGGTAACTGCGGGGCGTGATGTATTCTAGCACAATATTAACTTTATTTTGAAAAGGGAAGTAAGAAATGTCTTGACGGAAAATATCGACTCACTTCTGCAAAAAGGGCAGTGGAAGTCCTTGCTGACCCGCAGATAATGTTGGCAGTGGATGATCGTCAGCTATATTTCCATCTGAGCACAGCTTTTTCTTTAAATACATTTTTTTTTTTGAAAAACATTAATAGATTTTTATTAATTTTTAAGAAAAAAAAAATCTAAAATATTTTCTTACAGTAAAAGTTACAATATAGTTAAAAAAATGTGCAATTTGTTACTTTTTAAAAATGAATTCTGTCAGATATATTCTGTTTAAAAACTGTCTTGGCTGATTGATGGAATGTATCAGTGTTTGTGTTGAATTTTGGGAAATTTCTGATTTCTGAGAATTTCTTTTTATTTCGTGCTGAGAGAGGCGATTGTGTACGTCCCATGAGACTTTGCAAACAAATTTGTTCTCTGAACTGGAATACCTACTCAATGTAAAACTGTTGACTGCAGTAATGTAACTTCT